AGCAAAGTTCTAGGATATAAAATAAACCCCCACAAATCATCAGCATTTCTATATACTACCAATAAAACCCAATAGGAAAAGAGAAACAGAAATTCCATTTAAGATGACTATAGACAATATAAAATACTTGGGAGTTTACCTGTCAAGACAAACCCAGGAATTATATGAATGCAATTACAAAACACTTTTAACACAAATAAAGACAGACCTAACCAATTAGAGAAATGTTAATTGTTCATGGGTAGGCCAAGCTAATATAATAAAAATGATAACTCTACCTGTTAGTTTACTTATTCAGTGCCATACCAATCAAACCACCAAGGAATCATTTCATAGCCCTAGAAAAAAAATGGTAATAAAATTCATTTGGGGGGCAGCTAGGTGGCGCAGTAGATAGACAGCCAGCCCCGGAGTCAGGAGGACCTAAGTTGAAATCCGGCCTCAGACACATAACGCTTCCTAGCTGTGTGACTCTGGGCAAGTCACTCAACCCCAATCGCCTCACAAAAAAAAAAATCATCTGAAAGAACAAAAGGTTAAGAATATCAATGGAATCAATGAAAAAAAAATATTAAGAAAGATGTCCTAGTAGTTCCATATTTCAAACTATATTATAAAGCAGTAATCATCAAAACAATCTGGTACAGGCTAAGAATTAGAGTGGTGGATCAGTAGAATGGATTAAGTATACAATACACAGTAATAAATGGCCATCATACTCTAGTGTATGATAAACCCAAAGATCCAAACTTTTGGTATTTTATCAACATTTGATAAAAATTTCTGGGAAAAGTGAATATCAGTTTGGCAGGAACTAAACATAAACCAACACCTTACCCATACACCAAGATAAAAATAGATAAATGATTCAGACATAAAGGGTGATATAATCAGTAAATTAGAGGAATCTGGAAAAACGTACCTGTCAGATCTATGGATAAGTGAAGAGTTTATGACCAAATAAGAGACAGAGGAGATTACAGGAAGTAAAATAAATAATTTTAACTACATGGAATTAAAAAGCTTTCATAGAAACAAAACTAATACAGCTAAAATTAGAAGGAAAAGAGGGATGTGGTGGGGGGGAGGAAATTTTGCAATAAGTTTCTCTGATAAAAATCTTATTTATCAAATATGTAGGGAACTGAACCAAATTTACTTTAAAAAAAATGAGCCATTACCCAGGTGATAAATGGTCAAAGAATATGAACAGGAAGTTTTCAGAAGAGGAAGATCAAAGCCGTACATGAAAAAAAAAATGCTCTAAATCACTACTGATTAGAAAACTGCAAATTAAAACAACTCTGAAATACCCCCTCACACCTATCAGATGAGCTAACATGACAGAAAAGGAAAATTACAAATGCTGGAGGGGATATGGAAAAAATGGGACACTAATGCATTGTTAGTGGAGTTGTGAACTAGTCCAATCATTCTGAACAATTTACAACTAAACCCAAAGGACTACAAAATCATGCATGTCCTTTGATCCAGAAATACCACTATACATCTGTATCCCAAAGAGATCAAAGAAAAGGGAAAATGACCTATATGTACAGACATGTTTATAGTAGCTTTTTTTGGGACGACAAAGAACTAGACATTGGAAAGGAGGCCCATCAATTGGGAAATGGCTGAAGAAGCTGTAGTATATGATTGTGATAGGATACTGTTGTGCTATTAAAAAATGATGAGCAGGATGGTTTCAGAAAAACCTGGGGAAACATATGAAATGATGCAAAGTGAAGTGAGCAGAACCAGGAGAGCAATAACAGCAACACTGTAAAGATGATCAACTGTGAAAGAGTTAGCTACTCTGATTGAGACGATGATGTAAAACAGCTCCAGAGGACCCATGATGAAAGATGCTATCCAGCTCTAGAAAGAGAACTGATGAACTCTGAATGCAGATTGAAGGAGACTTTTTTTTTTACTTTCTGTATTTTTACTATTTTATTTTGTTTCTGTTTTCTTTTGCAACATGGATAATATGGAAATATTTTGCATGACCTCACACATAAAATCAAAATCAGCATTTGCCTTCTCAAGGAGTAGGGAGAGATGGGAGGGAGGGAAATAATTTGGAACTTAAAAGTTTGAAAGATGATTGCTAAAAAATGTAATTGGGAAATATTTAACAAAACGATTAAAATTCATTTTAAAAAAGAAAATGACAACAATAAACAGTTTCCATTTCTTTGGTACTCTGAGACTTGAAAAGAATTTTTCCTCAGGTAATATAAATGTTATTATCCCTATGTTACAGATGAGAAAACTGAGGCTCAAAAAGTGTAAGTGATTTTGGCTAAAGTTAACATCTCCTAGGTTTCAAAGACAGGCCTCTTAAAACAATTTGAAAGACTTCAGGACACTCATCAATGTGATGACAAACCACTGAATCTAGAAGATTGAAGATGAGGTATAACTCTCCCCTACTGTCAGAGAGGTGAAATGCACGAATGCATACATTTTTGGGCATGGCCTATGTAGGAATTTGTTTTGCTAGGCTAGGCATGCTTATGATGAGGGTTTTTATTCTGAGGCTTTGCTTTTGTTTTCTAGCAAGGGTAGAACAGAAAGAGAGAGAGAGGGAGAGAGAGAGAGAGAGAGAGAGAGAGAGAGAGAGAGAGAGAGAGAGAGAGAGAGAGAGAGAGAGAGAGAGAGAGAGAGAGAGAGAGAGAATCTTTAAAAAACAAACAAACAAATTCAGGTCTCTTGATCCGGGCTCCACCACTTGTTAGCTATATGACCTTGGGCTGGTCTTCCAGCTTCCTCTCTATGGAGCTCAGTTTCCTCATCTTTGACATAATGATGACATAAATGATTTCTAAGGTCACTTATAGCTCCAAATCCTATAATGTTGTGTGATTAGGAACCTAAGAGAGTCACAAGCTCAGCCCAACGGGAGTTTAGAAGACAGAGAGGGGTCACTTCTAGCTGGGAAAATCAGGGAAGGCTTCCTGGAGCATTTAGGGTTAGAGCCGGGCCTTGACCTGAGAGCGGAATGTTCACAATGATGATGAGGGTCTAGGGGATAGGGAGCGGTCCATTTTGCAGACAGTAAGCGAGAGAAAGAGGGTGGAATAATCTCACCAGTCAGATTGATTCAGGTTTACACAGGGCTCCCTTCACAGCCACTCTGTGATATCGGTAGTAATGGCAGCTGGCAAATGCTTTCCTCATGGTCTTCACCATACTGCGAGATCCCATCAGCCCTGGTGCTCACACCTCACTCATCCCCTTTCCCCCAGGATCCATCCGAATAAGTTGTAGATGGGAGAGCTGCTCCCCAAACCTCCATTCCAGGACAGCCCAGGACAGCCATTTCTTCATTCCCAAACCAGTTATGCTCCTTTGTACTTTTCCTACCCATCCCTTTTTTAGCTTCCTTTTCTATATTGTCTTCCCCTCATTAGACTGTAGGCTCCTTGAGGGCAGAGACTGACTTTATTTTTGAATCTATCTTCCCAGAACTTAGCACAGTGCCTGGCATACAACAAGCACTTAATAAATGCCTGTTGACCGACCAACTGACTTTGGCCACGTTCTGCCCTTAACCCATAAGCACCCAAACTATAGGTCACAGGGCTAATTCATTTCTGGGGATCAGCTGAGGTCAATAGAATTTGCTGGTGGTTGGGGGTGAAAGGGAGCTTGTAGTATCTTTGACACTGATCCCAGTTTACCTGCGGGTCCAGTCTTTGGCGCCCAGCTACAAGACTTATGTGTTCTGTGCTGCTCAGTGCAGCCCACCCCCGTTCTTGGGAACAGGTCTCAGAAACACAGGTCCCCAAACCAGGGGGTTCAGGAGTATCCTCTAGGTACTAGGCTTGCCCAAGGAGAGTAGACCTGGCCTTGAGCCCCTGTTCCTGCCACTTACCCACTATGTGACCATGAACAAATTACTTTAGCCCCCTCAAACCTCAGTTTCCTCATCTGTTAAACAAAATGAACATGAGCTGCCTCAAAAGGAAGAGAATTCTCCATCACTGAAGGTCTTCGAGTAGAGGGTGGATGACCACTGGTGGATGATGTTGTGAGGACTTGGGTATGGATTATACCAGGTGGAAGAAACTGAGGGAAAATGCACTATTCCTTTGTTCTCAGAGGCTACCTCTGTGTTATCTATAAATCTGATAAGTCTAACACCTGTCTTCATGCAAGGCATCAATTAAATATTTAACTCATTAGAGCTAAGGACAAAGTCCTTTAGCACCCCACTAGAGACCCTCCTGTGAAACCACATCAGTATCCATTAGGTCTAGTCATTCAATCAACTCCAAATTCACCTAATTCTCCTGTTACCCAATCCATATCCTTCCATCTTAACCACAAGGTAGCTTAAGAGACCTGGACCAAGGCTTTGCTGAAATTCAGACCCACTGATCTCATAGTGTTTCTCTGAGTTATGAACTGCAGAATCCCTTTGTTGTCCCATCACCCAGATTTGGCTCCTTTTCCATCCCATATTACTTGGTATTTCCTTATATACATATATACTGGTGCACAGTGCCTGGTTATATAACAGGTCCTTAGTAAATGCTTGTTCCATTGATTGATTGATTGATTTAGACAAGTTACAACTTCCCTGGGCCTTAGTCTCTTCACCTATAAAATGAGGGGCTTAAGTTAGAGAAGATCTGAGGACCCTTCCAGCTATGATGCTAAGTCATTTCACCTTTGACAGCCTCAGTTTCCTCACCTGTCAAAAGAGGGGGCTAAACTTTGAGATCTCTTGCAGTTCCAGATGTATGACCCTCTGATCCTATGGTGCCATTTCTCACCCCTCCCACCTCGGGAAAACACAAATGCTGAATGGATGAATGAAACCACCTTGGAAGGGCCCAGGATTCCAGGATTCCATGGAATTAATGCATTGCTGAGGCCAGGACCGAATACTGGGGTGGATATGGCATCGGTGGCCATACGGACTGGCTGATCCCCCCCATATGGTCCCCGTGCCTCCCCCATCCCCATACTTCCTTCTGGGCTTTGCTTACCTCCAGGAGGTGCCCGTAGAGCCAGTGGGAAGGAGGGCCTGGAAAGCTCTGGAAGATTCTAAGCAGCCTCTGCCTTTGCCAGTACAGCTGGGCCCCCTTCAGCAGCAGCAGGAGCAAGCCCAACAGAAGCAAAGTCTGGAGCAGGCGGGAGAGGTCCCCCAAGAGCCAGGCTGACCCCAACCCAGGGCCCATAGTGCTGAATGGAGCTCCCTCCCAGGAGAGTGCAGAGCTGAGAGATCCAAGAACAGGGTGCAGCTTTGGTCTTTTATATCAAGCCACAAGATCTCACCATGGGTCAGTGATAAATTCTTTGTTTTCTTTCCCCCTAGGGTCAATTCATAGCAAGCCCCCCGCTGGCTCTGCTCTGCACCAAGGCAGAGAAGGCTGAAAGCCTCTTTATCAGTGCCAAACAGAGAGGACCCACCTGCAGGCCTAACCAATGAGAGGCCAAGGATGTGTATGTGGGCCAGGAGCCAGAGCTCAGGGCACAGGGAGAGGAGAGTACATGGAGGGCCTGGAAACCAGCCCCCTGGAGCTATACGGCCCCAGGCTTGGGCCAGCCCTCCTGAACCTGTTTTGCCAGGCCAAGAGTACTGTGAGTCCCTCTCAGGGGAGCAGTTGGAATCATAGGGTAGAGAAAAGAGCCCAGTCTGGAGCCAGGGCACCAGTCTGCTCCATGCTGGAGTGGTCCTGGCCATCTCCTTTCCCTTCTCTGGCCTCAGTTTCCTCAGGTGTAAAATGAAGGAGTTGGACTGAATGAACTTCCAGGGAGACAGGAAGACTCCCAAGAGCCCCAGAGCTGGAAGGAGCCCCTGCATTTAACCCAACCCGAAACCACTCAGAACAGGAAGCTTCTGCTTGGAGACCTCCTATGACAAGGAGCCTCTTACCTCTCAAGGCAGTCTGGGAACAGCTCTGCCTGGAAGGAATTGAGCTAAAATCTGTCTCTGGGGCTCCACCTATCCACTCACCTACCCACTAATGCTCCAGGGTCTTCTAGCCCTCTGGAGCCCAGCCAAAAAGGTCTAATCTCCAAAGCCAGCCATCGAGTCTCAATTCAACATGCATTTATGTAGAGCCTACTCTGGACCAGGCACACTGGTGAGCATTGGGCTTACAAAAAGAAAAAAGCAATGGCTGCCTCCAAGGAGCTTACATACAAGGGGGCATCGGGAGAGGGGAGGGGAGGGAAACTTGTATGGAACTAAAGAAATGCAAAGTGTCCATAAAGTGACCTTACTTCCACAAGAGAAGGACACTACTAATCAGCAGAACCCCAAGTGTTCTCTTTCCCAGGCTGAACAACTCCAGCTTCTTTAACTAGTATTTGCACAGGCCAGCCTTGTCTGGAGTAGTCCTCCTCTGGACACTCATGGATAGGGGGAAAGTTCTGATCTGGCCCAGGGGGTGAATCCTATGACCCAAAGCCTCCAGTCTCTGTGAATGGTAGCAGCTTCCTAGAACTCCACCTCCCTTAAAAGCTGAGGTCCCAGAGACTCTCACCTTCTAACCACTTGTCACAGCCCTTAGTGGCCACCCTGGTAAATCCGCCCGAATTCCATTACCCAGATCCAATGCCTGATTCCCTCTTTCTTTAGCCCTTATGTCTACATGACCCAGTCCACAAGAGGAGGTTCATTGGGACTACATTATAAGAAGCAGAGAATGTATAAATTAGTAGCAGAGGTAAAGGAAATTCTTCTATTTACGTAGATTAAAGAATAGCACCTCCCTTCTGACTCTCCTCCATTGTAGTGGGTGAAATCTGAAATGACGGAGGAAACAAAGGTTTGAGTTTCCAAGTTCAGTTCAAGTTAAGCAGTGTATGCCAATTGCCCAACAAATCGGGTCCAGGCCTCTCAGTTTTGGCACTGGTCCCAGAATACAGGGTAAGAGAGATTTTCATGCATTAAAAACAATCTAATATGGCCAATTAATTAAAAGGAAACAATTAACCAGGATACAAAATTAAGTAATCTGGTTTCTAATTGGATGAATGATTAGGAACTTTTCAAATTAGGAGGGGAAAGTGCCCTGAAATTTAAAAAAAAGAGGTGTCCCACTCCCTTCAAGGGTCTGTACTCAATCCAAGGAGCATAGAAACAATAACTTATTAGCCAATACAGGGCCAGTTTTCAGATAACACATATGGGTTGCTAGAGATGTATAATTGTGAGAAAACTCCTTGTACCAATCTTCGGATCTGACTGGGTTTCTGGTCAGCATAACCTGGGTCCTTAGTTTAAGGGTCTCTCAGCAGCAGGTTGAGGTGGGTCCAGCTTCCCAGCCACATAGGGTTCAGTTCAAACAATGCAATAAAGTTTTCTCACACTTCTCATAATTGAATAAACAGGGCCAATTCTCGTAATTGAATAGTTTTCTCACAAGACAGAAATTGGACTCGATCCCTCATTGAATAGAAAGAGAAGTGAGCTAGCTCCAGAAGTGAGTCACAAGATGGAGTCAGTGGGGTTCACTCCATTCCCAGCATGCCTTGCTCTTCTAATTCCCTCACCAAGCTAAACATCCCCAGTTCTTCCAAATGATCCTCGTAGGTCATAGTCTTCAAGGTCCTTCACTGCCCTGGTTGTCTTCCTTTGGACACTCTCCAGCTGATCAGATAGTCCCACTGCTGTACTACTTGGCAGACCTCATTTGGAAGATTGTGGTCAGTTCTATGAAACCTAGACTATCACCTCACTCTTCCTGGAACTCAATGCACACTCCCAGACGGCATTAGCATGAGGGCTGCCTCATCACAATGCAGACTCACATGGAGTTTGTGGTCTCCTAGACCCCCCCAGATTGGTCTAGGGGCATGCGAGAGCCAGCTTTAACCTACTGGCAAGAACAAATTGTTAAGTCTTCAAGATGAGCATCTACACTTCAGAAACCAGCAAATACTACAAATCTGGACTTGATTTATCATTCTGTCGATTGTCTAGATTTAAGAAAGTGAGGGAGAAAATGTCACTAGTGCAGATTTAACTTAAAAGTAGGCAAAACATTTCAGAGCCAGTTGTTAAACATATGCCAGCATACCACTGTCCGTTTTAGAACATCTGCTATCTAACCATGCTTCTACCATCTTACACTTTGTGATGTTGATTATTTGTACCCAAGTGGAAAACTTTACATTGATTCCTAAAGAATTTTATCTTTTTAGATTCAGCCCAATACACTAACCAGTCAAGATCCTTTGGGATCCTGCCTCTCTCCTTCAGCTCTCTCTTCTGGCTTGGTGTCATCATAAAATCTGATAGGCATGCCATATATGCTTTCATCCAAGTTATTTCAGTTGAAATGCTAAACTGAACAGGGCCAATCATGGATCCCTGGGGTACTCCATTGAAGACTTTCTGCCATGTTGACATGGACCCAGTAATGACTCTTTGAATCCAGCCATTGTCTAATCTATGTCTTTCTATCTTCTCCACAAGTACAACTTAAAATACTTTATCAAATGCTTAGCTAAAATCCAGGTAAACCATATCCCCAGTATCCCCATCATCAATGAGCTTGGGGACTCCATCAAAAAAAAAAATCAGGTGAGCCTGGCTTCACCTATTGCCCTAGATGAAGAAGACACACTGGCTCTTGCTGACTACTGTTTCCCTTTGTAAACAGTGGTTTAGGAAACCCCAGGGTTTTCCCAGAAATCAAAGTCAAGCTAAAGGCTTAGAGTTTGCAGGCTATTCTCTCTGTTTTGGACAATCAGGACCACATTTGGCTTTCTCCAATCTTGTGACACTCTCCCATTTCTCATGTTCTTTCAAACTTCACTGGTAGTATCTCTGCAGTGCCCTATGCCTGTTCTTTCAGGACCCCAGGATATAGTTCACTTGAACTTGAATTTATCAAGGTCAAAGAAGAGTTCTCTTACCATCTCTTTATTTATCTTTAGGTATAAACTCCCATCAAGCATCTTTGTCCTACTATTTCCACTGCAAAGAGTCTTCTCCTTGGCCGAGAAAACAGAAACAAAATAAACATCGAGCAGCTCTCCCTTCTCTCTGTTGTCAGTGATCATTGTCTCATCTCCCCTCCAAACCGAGGTCCTCTGCCTCTACTGAACCTCCTCTTTCTCCCAGTAGCAACTTTTGGAAACTCTCATTCTTGTTCTTGAAGCTTCTGTCACCAGCCTCAGCGGCCACTGAGCTGAAGCATCCCTCATACTCTTTCCATGACTGTGCCAGACTTTTACATTCATTCCATTACCTGGTCTTTCTTCCATCTTCTCTGCATTTCTTTTAAAAATCTAAGTTGGTTGGGGAGTTTCCCTGTGCACCCATATGACTTCTTCAATCAAATCCCATTTTTCCTCCTCACTGGATTTATTTTCTTTTGTGTCTTACTAACTTCATTCTTTGGCATCTGCCATCCCTCCAGAGCTGACTTCTTTCCACTGAGGCATACTCCATGGGAGCCAGCCTACTGTAGATTTCACTAATTTTTAGAGCTGGAAGGTATCTTTCTTGTGGACCTTCTTAGTTGTCTTTGGCATCTATGGGCTGAGGGTTCTGGAAACCACCACTGCTACCAGTAATTCAGTTGTCCTGCAGCCTGGTTCAGGTTTGCTGAGGCCCAAGTCTGCGCTGGCATGGCCTGCACTGCACTGTGCTCATCTCTCACCCTGATGCAACAAACTTTTCCTGCTGACCTTCCAAGTTGTTTTCAGCTGGAAATTTGTTTCACTCCATCTTTTTGTGGGTTCTGCTGCTCTAGAATTTGTTTAGAGTCATTTTAAATGTATCTGCAGGGGTTTAGGGGAGAACTCAGGCAAGTCCCTGCCTTTACTCCACCATCTTGGCTCTGCCTCCCTCTGGAAGGTATCTTAAAGGCTACTGAGTCTAATCCCTCATTTTACAATTAAGGAACATGCAGTTCAAAGAGGTTAAATAACTTGCCTGGGGTCATACAGCTATGATTTTTCTCTTAACCCTTTGAAATCTGCCTCCCCCAATCTAGGGCACCTGCTCACCCTTGGCTGGACTTCCTTTCCTTCTCTCTCCCAAGCCCTGGAATAGAGCAGTAGATTTCCTCCAAGGAATCCACTCATCATCCACACTCCAGCAGCCCTGTTAGTAAAAATCAGAGGTGGAATGGAACTTCCCTTTGTTAGATCCTCCATCATTTGAAGGATGAAATTGTGCTAAGGCAAAACAATAATTATACCCTTATAAACTGCTCTG